TATGGAGACAGTATATTCGTGTTTTGTCCAAAAAAGGGCCATGGAACCCACAAGAACACAGCGAGCTTTAATTACTGACATTCTTTTTTAGCTATGACTCATGGGAAGAGGGGCTGCAAGGTCTCGAGGCAGTGCGTGCCCCGGGTGCTGGTTCAGGCCCCAGTGAACGCTGCAATTTTTTCACGTGGACTTCTAGTAATTTCCTCTGGTCACTGGGTAGTAAGATCGGACACCCGTGTGTATTGTTGCGCACGTAAAAATGCTTTGGCAGTTGTAAATCAAAGAGAGTAGCCTAACAGTAGCATTTCAGGATCTTCGCCTGTGCTACGGAGTGCGTCCACTGCGCCGAGATTCTTATACTCAGACTTGAGTTTGAAGTATAACGGAGCACTTATGGGTTAATACTTTTGTGCCATAATGTTGGTGCGTCGTTTAATCCTTAAACCTAACGACTCGTAGGAAGAGAATAAGAATTCATGTGATAACAATTAACCATTACATTTGTTCTCTTATAATACAATTTAAGCGACCTCAAATATAAAGATACAATTATATGTAGCGCATTTTTTCCATTTAGCCAGACTGAACCATGGCAACGCGTGGCCGGGTACACTAGTTACTAATTAACTGCACACATTAATAACTGGTGCCTGCGCACAATAGAGGGTATTAACAGGCGGTAGTGTGAAGTGAAACAGATTAGGAACACATGGGAAGAGCTGCAGGCGGTAGTGTGAAGTGAAACAGATTAGGAACACATGGGAAGAGCTGCAGGCGGTAGTAAAGGATAGAACGACTTGCGTGAGTTTTTTGAGGGCCTATTCTCCATTGAGGGTTAGAAAAGCAGAACAAGATCACGAACGATTTTGTAGTAACATGTTGTCAAGTGTATGTCGGTGTGTTTAAAGAGCTCATATTATTATTCTCGTTATTGTTATTATAATATTATTACTTTTATGCATAAACACACATTCTGAACTTAGTCCAAAGGGATAGATTTAGTCACAATTTATTTGATGAATGAACAATATAACACCCATAGCCCGTCATCAGGAAACACAAATGATCTTTTAACTGCACGGACACGTTTGAAGGGAGCCGCCATGGTGCAGTTGCTTTATGCACGCTTACGGATCGGAAGGTAGTAGGTTAGGGTTGTGATGGAGGCGGACTTTTGTGTGTGTGGAAATGACGTTGACTCATAGGTCGAACCAGCCTTAAGTGGGTATCAGGTATAATTCTAGGAAGTAAAGGCGGTCGGCGACATGTTGACCAGATCACCTACAGTGGGAAGATTGGTCTTTCAAATAGAGGCCTAGCCCTCATACCCAATGCTCATGAAGGCATGGAAAAGAATCCTTTCCTTTACTTTTACACGTTTTCAAAACTAATATAATGTTTCCATCTTTAAAATGTTCTATATATTTCCAGCCGAAGGAGATAAACGCGGATAACCAGAACCAAATCAACAGAAGATCGCTTACCGCCCTGGAAAGAATTGTGAGAGGGTGGGAGCCATCCTCGCCTGGAATGCTAAAGCGCTACGACACTTCTGATGGGGAAGTGAGAAATCTATCGCCGGTAAATGGACTCGAGCCCCGCAGTGCGAGCCCTGATTCTACACTGGGTTCTAGCTGGAACCCTGATCAAGGAGTTTCCAAGCGCCGTCATAGTATACAGGTCAAAACTAAAATTACAAAAACAAATGGGCAAGTGAAAACAGTGAAAAAGACAAAGATCTACACCAAAGGTAGCTCACACTCAAAGGGTTTAACTTACAAGAAAAAAGTGGTCGTCAAAACAGAGCCCAACAAGAATGGTCATAATAGTTACCTAAAGGTGAAGGTTAAACAAGTGACTCAAACTAACAATCACAAAAATAAACACTCATTTGGGACTAGCAAAGTGAGAAAAATTGTTAGAAAACTGCTAAAGAAGAAACGCGTTGAGCAAAAGAAAAGCAGTTACACTTCGGTGAAAATTACGAAAAAATATTAATAAAGCAGTCATACCAATAGATATGACCTGGCTCTACGGTTCAGCGATCAAAAGTTATGCTCACCAACAAGGAGAAATTTGACACTTGAAACGGGCTCCAAATGATACCATGTGGATATGACACCGTGTTTTCACCTGAAAATTAGACCTAAAAAAAAAAAAAAAATTATGAAAAAAGTGTTACATGATTTCCCAAGAATGCTTGTAGTACACACGCTGTCTTCCTAATGTAAGTCTCAGTTAGCATATGATTTCGTTCGTCCTTTGAAGCACACGACAGATGTACTGAATCATAATGTAAAGGATAAATAAACATAAATAAAGTAACAACAATACTTTAAAAAAATTTTAATTTTAATTATAAATAGTTATTTCAATTTAAAAAAAAGCGCATAAAATAAAATTACGGCTGCCCCTTAAAACACACACACGGCGTCTCTTTGGAAGACAAATGCATGTCTTGATAAGACAAGGTATTATTTTCGGGAGAACAGGGTATTAGGTGTTTATCTCCGAGTCGTTCATTTGTTCTTTTTCCGTCAGGTCTGTAACCTATCAACACGTTTTCAAACTGATTTATTCACTATTTATCTTCAAGTCTTTCAATTAATCTGTTTTTCCCCATCAGGTCTGTAATAACCACCGTTTTCCAACTGTTTTATTTAGTATTTATCTCTGTCTTTCTGTTTCCACCCCCCCCCCCCCCCCCGGCCCCCTGTTTTTGAGATTTACAAATTATCACTAAGGTTTTAAACAGATTTCTCCCCCAATTATCCTCCAGTACTCCCTAAAACACACGATGACTTGAACATTCAACGAGAAGTGAAGTCAAACAAGCACAGACAAAATCTAAAATATCTACAAGAAACTTGTATAAACAGGAAAAAAATTGTTTTCCTTGCTAAAGTTTCCATAGTATGTGTGCAAAGTAGTAATTTATCTTGGAAGAGTATTCACATAGAAAGACAGACAAACAGATGAGAAGTTATAAAAAAGATGCCGAACCACCAGTACACTTCTTTTTTAACAAACATACATGCATACATACATACATACATACATACATACATACATACATACATACATACATACATACATACATACATACATACATACATACATACATACATACATACATACATACATACATACATACATACATACATACATACATACATACATACATACATACATACATACATACTACATACATACACATACATACATACATACATACATACATACATACATACATACATACATACATACATACATACATACATACATACATACATACATACATACATACATACATACATACATACATACATACATACATACATACATACATACATACATACATACATACATACATACATACATACATACATACATACATACATACATACATACATACATACATACATACATACATACATACATACATACATACATACATACATACATACATACATACATACATACATACATACATACATACATACATACACTCACATAAAGATACAATGACTATCGACACCTGTGTACCTTTTAATCTGTGTAACAGGTTTTTTTTATTCTACCCACATGTAATCTCACTTAGCACTTCACTGAAAGCCATTAACAAGCTGAAATGGCACTCCACCGGTCCTTCTCTAGATTACACACATGACACCTGGGATCGTTCCCGCTTCGTGTGATAAATGTGTAACGTTCACAAACCACACACAGGAGCGACGACACAAAGAAATCTTGGGCGTCTCGGTAACAGAAAGTAAACAAATAGTCCAGCTATCGTGTGAAATGCCGTGTACAATAATAAACAAAGAAGTTAATTGAAATATGAGAGATAATGGACTATTTCAAGCAGATAATAAAGTAGAAGTGAAGGAAAGGGCCCCCGTCCACGCCATCACGATTGGTGGGCATATAGGGCTAGACCTATGTTGAATAGATGAAAGGGCACTTGGTGGGTGATGTGTCCAGCACCACGCAGGCCGCTGTTACTTACCAGGACTGTACCTGGTACCCATTTAAGGCTGGCTCTGTCAGGAGCTGAACCCACGACCTTCTTATTTGCAAGCGAGCATTTAGCCGCTACACCATGTAATAGTAACAATAATTATAACATAAGCAAAGTGCCTAATGGCAAATACCTATAATAATATGCATCATCATCATGTAGCAGATCCTTCGCAGAACGTCGCTCTCATCACGGTCTGCTTGAAAGAACTCGGTCTCTCGCCATATCTCCCTCCTCATGTACTTTCTTACTCTTGAAGTCACTTATATCCTGTGCCCATCTTCGTGTTGGTCGGCCTCTTTCCCCCTCCTTCCTGGTACCATGCCTTCTGCTACAATTATTTTTCCGATCCATCGTGGCGCTTGATATGACCAAAATATTTCAGCTTTCGAGACACATGATATAAAATATTTCAATATATATATTTCGCCTGGCCATCGCCATGGACTGTCAGCCCCATGCATGCTCACAGCACAATATAACAATATCATTGGGAAAGACAAAAATGTGCCAACTTTTATTTACAAAAATAATTTAAATAAACTGGAAGGGGTTATCCCCTTATTTTCTAGGTAGATGACAAGGGTTTGGGGCAGGGGATGCCTCCAAGTGTCTGTATTTCCAGTTTCTGACGCCCCTATGGTTGCACTCTAACACCGACTTTGCTATCATGAAAAAATATACTAAAGTCAGTCACATCTCCTACATCTAACAAGAGGCAGATGGACAGAGTTACCAAAAATCCACTTGAAGTGTATTAAGTTTGACATCAAGCACCTTTTCCTGTACTGATACAACCACAATGCAATGCTACTATGTGTTACTCATAGATAATGTGATGGAAATTACCACTGATCCCAGTGCAAACTTTGGTACAGAAATTATTTTTTTAACCACTACACAAAATCCAAGTCGCTTGTTGCTTAATTCGACTTGTTAATTTGTTTGAGTTACTGTTGTGTACGTTACTAAACAATACATGGCTTCTTTGAGACAAGTCAGCTTTCTGGAGTGTATATTTATGTTGACTGCTTGCCCGTTTGTCAGCTGTAAACCAAACATCGTGTTTATTGTCGCAGATGACTTGGGTAAATGTTTGTTATTTAATGTTTCATATTAAAAGTTAGTATTATTGACTTTAAAAAAAAAAAAAACTGGTTTATGATTACTGATTAACATCAAAACAGGCATTGACCCATGCCCACCGTACGAGCTCCGAGACCATTTAGAACACGTTAAAAAAAAGAAGTGGGGAGAGTAAGTGATATTTGCTCTCAGTTCTCTAACAAACATATTGTAAAAATTGACTAATTATAGATCTTTCCATCGAAATAAGATTGCATCTGTTCAAAGACGAAGAGATAATAATAATCATCATCATCATTAATTCTCTTTCTGCCTAGTGACACATGAGGCTTCAGAGATGACTTTCCATGCTTTCTGTCCTGTGCAATCTTCAGTGCAGTTTTCCATGTCAGATTGCCATATTCAGATCACTCTCCATCGTTCGTCTCCAAGTTGTTTTTGGGCACCCCTGCTTGCTCTTTCCCTCTGGTATCCATGTGAGAGTTGTTTTGGTAGGTATATTAGGATTTATTCTCATAACGTGGCTAAGCCATTTCCATCTTCTCTTCGCGACGAGATAATAGTCCGCATTAAAATAAGCCAGATCTGTAAAACGGAAATACCCGCAATGCTGGAACAAGACTAAAGTCTAGAAGTGGACGAAAACCCGAAACTGTCCGCTACAAAGCCAGTGAATGAAAAACAGAATACAATCTTAATTCTGATAAAGACGAATCCGTTTTAGAGACCAATTATGTGAACACTATGGACATATACAATAAGCAATGAAGATGTCTTGAACACACAAACATATGTGATTATTCACAGCAGATGAAGACAAAGTGTAAAGTGAAGTAAGTCGTGACAAGGCGAAAATTTGAGTAGAAGAGGCGCAGTGAAGACCAATAGAGAGGATACTGAACAGTTTGGTATTCTCGCTTTCATGAATACATTTAACAGGTAATCAGTCGATCGTCATTATAACTTCATAGCAATACCTTGGACTGCCAGAATAACTAACAATGATTACCTGGAAATGGCTCATGAAAGTAGAACATTATATTCAACAATGAGAAGGAGACAACGTTCTTTGGTCATGTGATGAGAAAAGAAGCACAGGACAAAATATTGTGACGACTGGAAAAATCACTAATAGGAGAGGCAGAGGCAGACCAAGAAAAATGATAAGGGATGGTTTAAGACAGTGGCATGGAGGAATATCATCAGTAGAACTGATCCTGAACACCAAAGAACGAAATCTGTGGAGATGCATGAACGCCTTAGCCAGCTGGCAAGGAACATGATGATGTGTATAACTTCATAGCAAACGTGTCACTCCATAGTTGCTCCGTTCCTGTGCCAACACATAAATCCATATAGAAGGTCCATTACTATGACTTATTATAACAATGGACATAGACTCACACGAACTAATACATGCTGCAGGAGATCGCAGATTATGGAGAGGCCTTATCGCCTACGCCAGTCGGCATGGCACCTGATGATGATGATGATGGACATAGACTGCAGTCTCGGCAAACGAAAAGAATCCCAAAAGAAATTCGCAGCTCCCAGTTTTACACCATGCCCTTTCCTCGGTAGCAAATGTATTCTTTCAGTCTATATATAAAAGAAACTGCAGCAGTTAACTATTGTCAGAAGCAAAAACTTGAAATGACTAAAAGTAATAAATCTGTCCAACCGCCACATGTTGTTATAACATAAATGACGGAATGTACACCACGTTTTGTGGATAGCCATGACTTCCATCTACATTTATCATGAATGACAAGACCCTTGAATAGATGAACTAGCACCATTAGGGCTGCTATATGTCTCCTCCTCCTCCTTCTTTTTTCTCCTTTATCTCTCTCAGTTTCTACCCTCTCGCTCCTCTTCCAATAGCGAGGCATGAGGGGAAGGATAAAAGGGGTATTCTTTTTGCTATTTCATAATTTTTGTTTTGTGACACTATGTCTCTTCAATGTACCAGGACAATCTCGACTTGATTTCTAGGGTGTTTCGAAATATTTAGATTGCTCGTTTTGGCTGTCTCTATATAATATTAAGCTTTCTTCCGTCAACCACATTTCAGGTACCTCAGGGAAAAGAATCAGTCAGAAAAAAATAATGATAATTATGCATAATGCACGTGATGTTGGATACGTAGATGCAAAAGGGAAGGGGCAACAAGATTTATTCGAAATCTATTTAAACAGTGGAAATTACTTCATCTAAACTTCAAGAAAAGCAGGTATTTAGACAAAAACAAGGAAATACTAAGTAAAGTCCCCTTTCCTTTAGGCGTCTTTAGGCCTACACCTATATTTTTTAAAGATCAATCGGCACAATATGGGTGATGCAGTCAGCATCACGCTGGTCGCCTTTACTTCCCGGGACTGCACACGGCACCCACTCACGGCTAGGTCGACCTGGAAGCCACGTTCACTTCTGAAAAATGTCCGGCTAACTGACGAACATGTAATATGAAATAAAACTTTACTTGAGAGAAAAATTAATGAAATCAAAAAAAAAAAGTAATTAACACAATAATAAGAGTACGAGATTCGACAATTCAGTAATGAGACAAATTCACCGAAAAAAAAAAAAACATCAACAGTTGAAGATATAATCTGTATTTTTTTTTAAAGTAAGCCCCTTGTGCATTGATACAGCAAGTGGCACTATCTAACACACACTGGAACAACCTCTGTAATGCTTCTGTTGTTATGGCCCTTAAAGTCGATGTTACGGTCCTTTGGAAATCATCAGTATCGCTTAAGAAGCGTCCTTTGAATCGTAACTTTAATTTTGAGAATAGAAAATAATCACAGGGAGACAAATCTGGGGCAAAAATTCTTGTTTTGATGATGTCTATTGGGTACTCAACCCGCTGATGTTTTTGATCATCAGACAACGAATGTGGTACAAACCGGCAAGCAACTCTTTTCTTGCCAATTTCTTGCACTAAAATGTTATTAATGGTCTTTCTATTAACACCAGATTTATCTGCCATCATCCTCACAGTAAGGGAGTCGCCGTGGCCTAGCGGTTAGACGCTCGCCGCGGATCGGAAGGTCGTGGGTTCGCTCCCTTGCAGAGCCGGACTTTTTTTTAAAAAATGACCTTGGCTCCCAGGTCGACCCAGCCTTGAGTGGGTACCGGGTGCAGTCCGGGAAAAGTAAAGGCAGCCGGCGTGATGCTGACCACATCACCAATCTTGCCGATCGGTCTATAAAAATATAGGTCTAGCCCTATATGCCCTATACACATAAAGGCGCGGAAAAGGGTCCTTTTTTTTTATCCTTTCAGTAAAACAATGATCTTCTTGTATCCTTTCTCTGACGTTTGCAATAAGTTCATCACTATGAACAGAAATTTAGCGTCTATGTCTAGATGCATTAGTAATCATTTTCACACAACTTTTGAATTATGTAAACCACCTGAACATATTTGCACGAGATAAACAATTATCCCCTTAAACTTGTTGCATAAATTTAACTGTCTTAATAACGCTTTTTTTCTGAGTTTTAAAAAAGAATTTAATGTTAGCTTTTTGCTCCATGCTGATTACGTAACAATACACCTCAACAAAATGGCTACTTGTTTGTTGTCTGTTTGTCGAGCGGCGATAAAAAGTTTTCAGATCATATATGAATGTTGCCTCATTAGATACATTGCTTTGCTTCATAGATGGCATTTTTGTCTTGGCCATAATAAAATCAGTCTCATTACTTAATTGTCGAACCTTGTATATATCACATAATGAGATACATTAACCGCCAACATCAAAACAATCTGGGAATTTCTATAAGCACTCTATCGCCATCTTCACAGTCAGCTTTGAATCCTAGTGACGATGGAACCAGTAGCAGTAGTATTTATATCCGTCTTGCCTTTCTTCTGAGTGCTGAGCGTCGGTCAAATCACATGATCACTTCATAAAATACCCTTATCTTCAGACAGTGACGATCGATTTGTGCTCTGCGCATTTTTCATTGCTTCCAGGAGGTGGTGACGACACCTGATTGTCATGCAATAATTCAACACCAAATGACGCGTTAGCAGCCAATCTGTCTGTCTGTTCATTGTCAAGTACACTTGAAATTGAGGGACATATATGCATGGAAATTGTGACTGATCAGCATCAAGAGCTAAGTAAACGACAAACTAAAGGTTGCACGATTTGTTCACTGACAATAGAAGCAGACAATATAGCAATACAATACCTGCTGTTATCTTTCCGTCTTTCCTACTGTGCTGTATTATGCTTTGGAATCACAGTAGATGATCAATACGCTTATACTTAAAAAAAAAATTACTGACAATAAAATCATAGCTGGTAAAACAAATACAAGTTATCCAATGAAAAACGTGCATAATATTACAAGCCATAATAACCTATTTTAACTCATAATAGAGATAACAAGTAAAGGCGTGTAAGTTATAGGCGGTTAGTGACACAAGTAGGCGGGAACAAAATTGCAGCCTGTAATGGACATATGCTGCTAATTTCATATTCTTATAAACCAGATAGTACTCATTTTTTTTTTTTATTTATCCAGAAACCTTGAGTTGTAAACCTTTTGACTAGAGTTTAAGGATATCGCAATCCTTCGGCCTTGATTCTATGATAGATACCGTAGATCTACGAAATACGTGGCTTTTCTGCCTATCCCTGAGCGCGAACTCGGACCACAAAGAGTTTGTCACCTGGCTTAACCAAGTGAGCTTATGCACAAGGCAGATAGCACTCAATCAATCAATGTCTGGTAGATAATTATATTTCCAAGAAAGGTTTCTGATATCCACTGTTAGGTCATCAGGTATTCACAGTTCCTAGCTTCACGGCAAACGTGTCTCCCCATAGCTGCTCTGTTTCTGCGCCAACATTTAGTTTGAGAATGAAGGTGGAGGCAGTCTCTGTTACCTTCCGCTCGCTTGAGAATGAGCTGTACACACATGACGTGTTTGTAACTGACTCACAGAGCATGTCGAGAATGGTAGAAACAGGCATGCTTGGTGCAGAGTGGCAAGCATCACTTTAGAGGTCCAAGTTAGCATCCTTTGGATATTTTCTCCAAATCATGTAGATGCGTTGAGAAATTAGCAGACCGACTGGCTGGCTAAGCACCCCTTGGTGGTTAATCGATGTATGACAAGTTAGATGTTGTGAGGGCCCTTTGGGAGCGAGTGAACAGTGCCGAGGCGCAGATAGATCTTTACGGGATGTTCATCATTGTCGCTTGTGAAAATATTGACAAAAACAACATTAGACTGAAATGATATGATTGCGATGTCAATTAGAAAACCAACATTTTAAAACAAAAACTAAACCCTTAAAAGCTTGGTCTAAAGACGCGCGTGCTGGCGTTACTGCGTTACAGCGAGACCTATGCAAACAGCTTTCTATCGTCCATGTGTTTTATCTATCGTCCATGTGTTTTATCTATCGTCCATGTGTTTTATCTATCGTCCATGTGTTTTATCTATCGTCCATGTGTTTTATCTATCGTCCATGTGTTTTATCTATCGTCCATGTGTTTTATCTATCGTCCATGTGTTTTATCTATCGTCCATGTGTTTTATCTATCGTCCATGTGTTTTATCTATCGTCCATGTGTTTTATCTATCGTCCATGTGTTTTATCTATCGTCCATGTGTTTTATCTATCGTCCATGTGTTTTATCTATCGTCCATGTGTTTTATCTATCGTCCATGTGTTTTATCTATCGTCCATGTGTTTTATCTATCGTCCATGTGTTTTATCTATCGTCCATGTGTTTTATCTATCGTCCATGTGTTTTATCTATCGTCCATGTGTTTTATCTATCGTCCATGTGTTTTATCTATCGTCCATGTGTTTTATCTATCGTCCATGTGTTTTATCTATCGTCCATGTGTTTTATCTATCTTCCATGTGTTTTATCTAACGTCCATGTGTTTTATCTATCGTCCATGTGTTTTATCTAACGTCCATGTGTTTTATCTATCGTCCATGTGTTTTATCTAACGTCCATGTGTTTTATCTATCGTCCATGTGTTTTATCTATCGTCCATGTGTTTTATCTAACGTCCATGTGTTTTATCTATCGTCCATGTGTTTTATCTAACGTCCATGTGTTTTATCTATCGTCCATGTGTTTTATCTAACGTCCATGTGTTTTATCTATCGTCCATGTGTTTTATCTAACGTCCATGTGTTTTATCTAACGTCCATGTGTTTTATCTATCGTCCATGTGTTTTATCTAACGTCCATGTGTTTTATCTAACGTCCATGTGTTTTATCTAACGTCCATGTGATCTAAAGCTCATCATGTCTAATCACAGCAAGCTCAACCAGGTCCCGAAGCAGGAGCATTAGTGTCTTCATGAGTTCGGCCACTACTTCTGACTTCCGGCGTATGCATTCTTCCTACCAATTGCTGTTTAAATCTACAACACCTGAGATTAGACTTCCATCATCATCATCATCTTTATCATCACCACCACAACCATCACATCATGTCCATGTTTCACATACAAAAACTACACAGGTTGTATAGAAGACCTTTCATAACTTTCACAGGTCTTTGCTATCTGTTTTTTTGTTATACGCCTTGTAAAACAGGAAGACGCTAGATGCTGTCATGCCGGGCCAAAGGTTTAAATACGTACTGATCTGTGATTTTGTTTACAAAATTCGAACATTGGTTCATTGGTAGAGCCAGCTTTATCTTAACCACATCGTTGACGGCGTTCCCACCTGTCAGTTAAAAAACAAACAACATATCTGTCTAGCATCAGTATTCCCAATGTGCAGTTGCTGTGAAAATATTTCACTTTAGTACATTCTGAGACGTTGGTGTAACAATGATGAAATATAAAATATAAGGACAAACATTGCGTTAATACAGGAGCGAGCTCCCAACAAAGTGCACATTCTTCACTGACTGTTACAGAAGGTTACAAGCGTAAAAAAAACATGGGACTTTCAAAAAAGGAAATCTGACACTTAAAGTAACAATAACAGAAAAAGGAACAAAATGCCATATACAAATAAGTAGGATATGTACACGCAAAACTCAACCTGTGGATCAGGTCCAGGAGTGTTCTCACAACCAGAACTCTCTGCCAGGGTGAACAGCCAGTGAAAGTGAAGGAGAAGGAATACAGGGATAGATCTGAAATATTCCCTATTATATGGACTAAAGTCTCTGACGCTAACCAGCATTCGTGACAGTGGGGTGATTCTGCATACGCATGTATTTTCAATCGCTGATTTAAGATATAATACAAAATTACCTTCTCACTGGAGCGGTCAGATGACATCATCGAGCTCAGCTGACGGTGATAACAAACGCAGCTGGAGATGATATCCAAGGGCCTTCCGTAGCGCCTGCGATGATATGCTACGGGGAGTGACCAGCAGATCTGTCCCACACTCAAAACTGACAGCAAAGGCATGACGAGTATGCAATTACAGTGCTGCTGGTACACTGGAAAGTCCTGGTTATTGGTCCATTTGGACTTTGGCTTTGTGACAGGCTTCCATCAGTGGGTGGTACAAGAGTCCCACCGTGGAATAAACTGGGTCCCAGCGACGCCAATTCTTAAATTCAGCTATGTCTGCTCTGCAGGTACCTGTGAATAAAACGTTTACTTAAAACTGTGTTGGATGTTAAGTTCCCAAGCCTCTTTTCTGTGAAATAAATGGGAAATACAGATGTTTCAGAAGAAAACTGACCAGCTTACGACCTACCTTGTAGATTAAAATTTATGAAGGCTTTACACATCGTATACACAGCAGTTTGTTGGTTCTTTCTTTTTCTTTCTTTCTTTTGTCCATATCAACGTTGTGCCGCTATGCGTCGCAGTCTAACCGATGATGTGTAGATGAGACAGGATGTGCTCGGTTACTTGCTATGCTGTTATGTTGTGAAGTCTTAGCCTGTCAATGCAGCCTGCAGACCGTCTTCTGCTATTTCTCTTTGTGTCTCTTTACTGTTTTCATATTTTTATTATACTCTCTCGCTGTGGTCATCGTCAGATTCAATCTTTCAAGGTGGCTGCACCATTTTAGTCTTCGCGTCTCAGTGTAAATCTTACTTGTAAGTAATAATATTATTTTGGAGGATTTCCTTTTTCTCACAGGTTGGAATGACGTGGGCTTCAACAACCCAGACATTATATCCCCTAACATTGATGGCTTAGCCAAGTCTGGAATTATTCTCAACCAGACATATGTGCAGCCTCTGTGTTCTCCGTAAGTTCTGTGTGGTATGTTACTGACCCACCCACACACACACACACACACACACACACACACACAGACTCATTCATAGATATTTATACATTCATAATACATACATAAAGGCATACCTTGACACGTTTATTAGTACATACACGTATACGTACATACATACATAATAAATGCATGTTTACATAAATACACACTTAATAGATATGAATTCATACATACACAGACATACATACATATTTATGCATTTGTTCCCCAGGTCATGTCGGTGTGTTGTTGGAAACAAACAGAAATATCGACTGGATTATTTTGCGCCACTTGATGCTGATTTGACATATGACAAGCTAGAGTTTTCTTGCACAATCTGAGGACAATGGCACTACGAAGAGTGATCAGGGGCTTTGGCAGACGCTCAACATTCAAGATGATGACAAAAAGAATATATCGTCAGAAAGTTACTGATGCCATCAGAATCGGAACTTTGCGTTTGCTGCTGAAGAAGGGGAAGGAGCGCTAACTGGAATTTCCTAAGTGCTGTTATGTAAATTTATAATATAGTATTCAACATACACACGCACAAAAGTAAGTCAGTTTTCCAGACATTTCAACAGCCAAGAAACAAAAATTTGAATGGAACACAATGCCACGTCGTCCATGTAAAAACACTCAACCCGTAGTGTAGCACAGCTGTCATCTTTGCGTACGTCGATGTCACACCCAGGTTCGTCTTTAGTTTTGCTACAGGAGGAGTCGATTAGAAGATCATAGACGAGGTGAAGGAAGGTTGTATAGATAGTGGTGATGATGATGTCTAGCTTGCTGCATGCTTGTCACGTGACGCTGATGCTTGTATAATAAAATGTCTGGAAACAACTCTTCTTGTCTATACTGTCTTTATTTTGATACTTTAGCAAGGTCACAAACAACATCAATGATATTATGAATAGCGGTGTGTTCTCCTTATGGTTACAAACTCTTAAGGTCGCGTTGTGTTCTTTATCTCTAGTTACTTTTTTAACTGGCTCTAGTGTCTATAACTGCCACCTGGCTTCTAGTGCTTTCTGTTACTAATGGCTTCATCGTCGACTAACATCTCAGTAGTGTTTCTACCTAATGTGTCTCTGTTAACGAGGGATCCATGTATCTTGTGTGTTGTCTCTGTAGCTCCATGTCTTGTTCCATGTCTCCTCTCTAGTGACTGTCTTTGAGGCTCCATGTGACTGGTTCCTCTTCTTCTAGTGTGAAGCTGGCATCTCCACAACTACGAGGGTCCTTGAGACCAGTTCCTTGTCCTCTAAGTCTGGTAGCCAGAAGGATTTCTTTAAGGGTCCATGTTATTAGTCCCTCCTCTTCCAAGTCTGGCAAACTGAAGTATTAACAAAGTGGTTTCTCGATCATTAATTATACTTGAATGCTGGAATGATAGGCATTTGTTTTCTTCTCACTTTATCTGCCTCTAGAATATTCTAGTATGCTACAAACTTGTTTACTATGTGCTTTCTCACCTGGGATTTTGTAATTAAATCTCGATTGCATCAGATTTTATCATCTTATTCTGCTCCTAAATATAGTAATTACATTGACAGCTGACGTCATAGAGACTCCCAGAAAGCCATTACTACTACATTCTCTTTGAAAGGGCACGTCAACAATGACGTCAAATACGATTCATTTGCAAAATATTAATCTGTTAATAACAAACGAAGGTACTAGAAAAAGGGAATGTCAAGGTTACCAAAAACTTGCTGATCCGGTACATCTTAGCTTGCTCAATATCCTACCTCCTAACAAACAAGTAATGACGTCTCCCTGTTACAGGAGTCTTGTGTGAAATGAGAAACATCCACTAGGAAATGTGTGAAACTAGCAAGTCCGCTAATAGAGAAACATGGACACTGTTTTCAGAAGACAAATGAGAATTAATCATGACAAAAATGAAATGTTTGCGTAGCATGCTAGGTGTAACAAGAAAAGACCTAATTTAGGAATTATGATATCAGGAGGACAGTCGGCACAGGACTTTATGAGTAGATAACAAATCAAATGGTTTGGTCATCTAACAAGACTAGCAACAGACAGGGCACCACGGAGAGCAATGTTATACAGATACGGTGGTAATAGACCCAGAGGTCGACCAGGCAGGATATTAACTGTGGAGATATCCTAGACACTGACAATTACTATATAAATCGAACAGAAAGTCTCTTTCTGCCATGACGCTGCAAGGAATTCTAAGAGTTATAAAAAAAAAAAAAAAAAGACTGCATAGAGAAATACGAAGACAATGTTTTGTTCTATGATCGTATTTTGCCTTTTTCCCCCTATAGAATAACTAAAACACCAATTTTCGAAATACCTACAATAATAACTAATGTTTGATGTCTTTAGGTCTCGTTCCGCCTTGATGACTGGCATGTACCCTTTTCGTTTGGGCCTGCAGGTATGAACACTCATTTGTATTATTCTATGGTCAAACCGTCAAGAACAGTGGGTTCTCATGTGGGATATCCAGGTTTGAATCCTCCGTTGGTTATTAAATTTTATTCTTTTCCGGAAAAAAAAAAAACAAATTCATAACCTGGTCAGAATGTGGTGATTGCTCTTATCAGGCGGCCCTGAATCATCAGGTTTAAAGACGCAACGTGCCTTCACCACAGAAGTGGTAAATACAGTCAGGAATAACAGTTTTTGTTTATAAATAGGAAAATAATAATGAAACACATTTATTTTCTTTGGTCTCTGAAGCGCATTAAACACATGGCCCTGGAGTAATAATTTTATTAATCAATTGCTACTCATTTGGTAACGTGATCAATAATGCATTGGTCTTCGTTACTTCCAGTACCATACAAGTTGAAGTCACGTTGTCACGGGTGATAATAAAAAAAAAATTTATGTCATTCATAGTATAATGTACGTTACATCCTAACGTCAGTAAACATTAAAGGTAAATTTTATCTGTTTGATTAAAAAACGCAAAATGTAAAAAAAAATATGTAAATGCTACTACCCACACATGTTCTAGCAAGAACCTTTGATATTGCAATAATACAGAAATATGCACCAACAACTGACTACAGTGATGAACAGCTTGATGAATATTATGAAGAACTACAACAAACACTCAAAGTTGTTAAATCATCAGAGGTCCTAATAGTTATGGGAGACCTGAATGCAAAAGTGGGGAAAAAGAAGCACAAACATATTGTAGGGCAATTTGGCATAGGATCAAGGACAGAGGAGACAGATTGATACAGTTTTGCGAAGAGAACCAACTCATTATCTGTAATACATTTTATCAACATCCACCTAGAAAACTGTTTACGTGAAAGAGTCCAGGAGATATAAATAGAAACCAAATTGACTATGTAATGATTAGAGACAGATTAAAAAACAACATAAAGAAGGCCAAAACATACCCAGGTGCGGATAAAAATTCAGATCACAACCCTGTGGTAATAAAAATACAAATTAAACTTAAAAACGCAGGAATAAAAACACAAAGGTCACCCCACATAGACATATCAGCTTTGAAACAGCCAGAAATAAGCCAACAGTACCGAGTGGAGGTTAAAAATAAATATGACAGATTAATAGTTGAAAGCATGGAACAATATCGACGGGAGAATCCAGAGGACAAAATTAATACAAAATGGGAATGTTTCAAAACTAGTATGGAAACAGCTAATGCCATCTTACCAGAGAAAGAAAACAAGAAAAATCAAGTATGGATGACTGAGGAAATTATTAACAAAATGACACAAAGGAAGAAAGCAAAAAACACTCCAGAATATTCACCAATAGACTAAGAAATACGAAATATGTGTAGAACTGCTAAGGAAACATGGATTCAGTTAAATTGCAAAGAAATAGAGGATCTTGAAATAAAACACAGAATCAAGGAAATACATGCAAATATAAGAAAACTTACAAACAAGGAAAAACATTTAACAGGAAATGGTTGTATTAGGGGGAAGGATGAAAAAATTATTGTTGATAAGAAAGATAAAATAAAAAGATGGACTGAATACACAGAAGACCTGTTTTGGGACAACAGAGGTGACAAACCGCCAATCCATAATATTCATGAGGGACCAAACATATTAAAGTCTGAAGTAGAGAAAGCCATTAAACAGATGAAGCAGGGAAAAGCTGCAGGTCCAGACAACATAACTGCAGAAATGTTAAAATCATTATCTACTTTTTGAATTGATACTATCACAGAAATATGCAATAACATTTATAACTATGGGTACATTCCCAGGGACATGAAAACATCTGTTTTTATCACACTACCCAAGAAATCAAAAGCTGTTGATTGTGAAGATTACAGAACTATTAGCCTAATGAGTCACGTAACTAAGTTACTCTTGAAGATAATACAAGCAAGAATTCAAGATAAAATAGAGAAAGAAGTTTCTGAAGAGCAATTTAGACTCCGTAAAAACAGTGGTACTCGAGAGGCCATAATTTGTCTAAAGATGCTGACTGAAAAATATATAGAAGTTCAGAAAAATATTTATGCATGTTTTATAGATTACAAAAAAGCCTCTGAAGGAGTGCAACATGAACAACTAATTGCAGCTCTTCAAAACATAGGACTAGATGGAAAGGATATCAGACTTATTAGAAACTTATACTGGGAGCAAAAAGCAACAGTAAGATATGACAACATCTGCTCACCCCAGATAGAGATCAAGAGAGGAGTAAGACAAGGATGTGTGCTGGCGCCTAGCCTTTTCAACTTATGTACAGAAACCATTTTTAAAGAAATTGTAGAATTACCAGGACTGCACATCAATGGTAGAATAATAAACAATCTGAGATATGCGGACGACACAGTGTTGCTAGCAGAGAGTGAGCAGGAGTTGCAATACCTAGTGGAGTAAGTAAACAGAAGGAATGCAGAATTTGGATTAGATATAAATTTGAAAAAGACAAAAACCATGATAATTAGCAAAGAAAATAATCAGCTAACAATGAATATCACAGTGAACGGGGTGAAATTGGAACAAGTTAAAAATTGCTTATATCTTGGACAAGTAATAACATGTGACGGCAGAAGTGAAACAGAAGTCAAGAAAAGAATTGGGATGGCCAAAAACATTTTCAACAACATGCAAAAGTTTCTGACATCAAGAGAAATAAGCAATTCATTAAAAATGAGAATTGTCAAATGTTATGTATTCTCAACCTTATGGCACAGATACATGGACAATGAACAAACAACTGGAAAATCGTATCAATTCTTTGGAGATGTGGATATACAGAAGATTAGGTCGTATTTCGTGGAAACAAAATCTATGAAATATAGAGGTACTGAGGAAATTGGGAATGAAAAGAGAGTTGCTAGGTAAAATAAAAAAGAGACAAGTGAAATATTTTGGCCACATTAAAAGACATAACAGTATTGTAAAGATCATCCTAGAGGGAAAGGTTCAAGGTAGGCGTGCAAAAGGCAGACAGCGTTACAAGTGGCAGGAAAACATCAAGAGATGGACGAACAGCAGTATGAGTAAGTGTACATCAAGGGCAAGAGACAGGGCTTGTTGGAGATCCATTGCAGCCAACCTTCATTGTGGAGACGGCACCTGATTGATTGATTGATTGACACATGTTCTACCGGGACTCACAGGAAAGCCAGAAACGGTTATAACACTGCAGCCTGCCAGTCATGTAGTATATGAGGTGACTACTGAGGGTTTGGGTAGGCTACAGGTAGAAAGCAGAAAGAAGTCCGGATTCTCGAGGCATCTCTTTTCACCTAGGAAAGTCGTCAGAATGCCTTTTGTAATGTAAACGTTATACATTAATAATTATAATAATAATAATAATAAAAAACAATTAGGAGAAGAGAAAATGTAGGTGGGGGTAGAGGAAAAGTGGTGGTGGTGGTGGGGGGGGGGGGTGAGGGTGAGAGATGCATGCGAAAGGAAGGATATGACATCTTTGTCTGGTTTGGAGCATTAAAAAACAAAAACCTATAAACCACCCAGTAAATACTTGTGCTTATATTTGATCAACACATTAACCTGACCGCATCAACAAGAATAATAGACTAAATGTTTGCCTCTACTTATCTATACATAACTGGAACTATAGCTCTTACTAGAAGTCCTGTCGAACTTCGAAAACTTTAACTCAGTAACCTTCCAGTGACACACACACATATATATATATATATATATATATATATATAATAGTGGCATATATATAAACATACATATATACACACACACATATATATATATATATATATATATATATATATATATATATATATATATATATATATATATATATATAACAAAATTATAGCAGAAGGCATGGTACCAGGAAGGAGGGGCAGAGGTCGACCGAGACGAAGATGGGCACAGGATATAAGTGACTCCTTGAGTGTGAAAGTTCATGAGGCGGGAGAACTGGCAAGAGACCTGCTACATGATGATATATATATATACATATATATAAATAAAAGAAGAAGACTATAGTAATTGACACACGTGTAAACCTTGCTTGGAAAACAGTTCACCTGTGCAGCGACGCGTGGTTATTGTTTTGATATTCTATTCTCCACACAATAAAACATCCACACAAACGGGACACTAACGCTATAGATGAGCACACGAGAGTGAAATGCCTTTGAAATGAATGCAATCTGATGTTCTGAAAAGTTTCCCTTACTCAACTTATTCAAGTTATTGTAAGCTTGCTGACTGCTTTGAATGGTTATATGTAACACGTTTCAAAGGCATTTTACTCTCATGTGGTCATGTACAGCATTAGTGTCCTGTGAGTTGGGATGTTTCACTACGTCGCTACAAGATGCGTCCTGGAAGGTCGTGGGTTCAAGCCGTGACGGTGCCGGAAGTTTTTTTTTTTTCCAGAAATGAACTTGGCTCCTAGGTCGACCCAGCCTTGAATGGGTAACAGGTGCGGTCATGGGAAGTAAAGGCGACCAGCGTGATGCTGAATGCATATCCACCTAGCCAAATGGTGTATAACATAAAGGTCTAGCCCTATATGCCCAATACCACTATTAAAGTCATGGACAAGGATCCTGTACTTACGTTACCACAAGATGGAAGAGGTGCAAGCTGAGATAAAACCCACGAGACAGTTTCGGACAGTGTCATTGGATAATCCCTATCTTTCAGCATGTAGTGATCCTTGCGTACCAGAACGTATGTATGCCTCTCAACCTGACAACCTTGCCTGAAGTACTGAAGAAGGAGGGCTATGCCACTCATATAGTCGGCAAGTAAGTACTTTCCTGTTGTTGATCCTGCATCCATTAGTCATTAGTGTCTCGAACTTATATAGTGTCCTTTGAGCTGAAATGCTATAGAAAGATCTCAGGAAAACATGGGCAAAGAAGAGAAGAAATACTGACATTCTAAGAAATCTCTACATTAAAGAAGATTGGCTAATAAACAGCATCCTGTCTCATAAGCTGAAATATCTTGGTCATTTCAAGCTACATGGTGAATTGGAAAAAATTAATAGCAGAAGGGATGGTACCAGAAAGTAGAGGCAGGGGCGAACCAGAACGAAGATGGGCACATGACATAAGTGACTCCCTGGATATGAAATAACACGAGGAAGGTGGGAGAGCTGGTGAGAGATGATGACCTGGAACTTGGTATAGACGCCTTAATCCGGGGTCCACACCCCTTGGGGAGTATGAAAATGATGATGATGATCCCTTGAACGGAAATATAATGGTTTTCAAAAATATAATAACATACTTAAAATAATATGAAATTTATGAGTAAATACATTTAAACAGAGTTTACATACACGGTTCAATTTAAGATTAAAAATCATTTTTACTGTAATAAAAATACATGATTCAAATAAGCCTCTTAGCTCCTTTATATTATTTTTGAAAAAAGGGACAGACGGAAGGGGAAGGAATGAGAGGGGGGGGGTTGGGGGGGGGGGGGGGGGGCTGAAAACTCCTGAAATGCCTCCACATTTCTTCAGAACATTTTTAGGAGGGATAGGGTATGCGGGTGCCACCTGATACAGGATACAGGAGGCCCGACTATTCAGTATATTTGTTTCGAAGGGCTTGGATTGAATTCGTATGAAGGCGTGGATGTGTATAACACTGACCTATGGGTTTTTTTAAGTGGACACAGACTAAGGTAGACAACAGGACGTGTCTCGGAAAGTACAGACCGCCATCTCTTATCTAGTATTGACTGGTCTCTAGAAGTAGGGGCCAGTCACTATCTGCCCAATGTTGCAATGGAGTACAAGAGGGTTGGTGGTGGTAGTGGCTTTGTGAAAAGAACAAATCGTCACATTCAACCAGAAATCCCTGAAAGGGAAGCTTTAGGTTTTCATTGGGACTAAGTTATGTGCGTCATAACAAAATAGCTTAGCATTGCACGTAACCAATTAGCTCTGAAAAGAACTATTGCAGAGTTGAAGCAATCACAGGGGACAGGTCATTATAGTGTGATGACCGGCGACGAAGTCGTCTGTCGACAAGCCAATGGGCGACTGGGTGGCCGATGTACAAAAGAGTCCATAATAAACTTACTTGTATAATACAATGTTGTATAAAGATAAACACTGAAGCTATTAGCCACTGCGTTAAATACTGGTTCTCTTTAGGGTGGATGTTCATAGGGATCCATAATAAAATACCCGGATGTGTGTATCTTTGTGTGGGTTATATGCATGTCTCAATATGTGTGTGTGTGTGTATCTTTGTGTGGGTTATATGCATGTCTCAATATGTGTGTGTGTGTGTGAGTGTGTGTATCTTTGTGTGGGTTATATGCATGTCTCAATATGTGTGTGTGTGTGTGTATCTTTGTGTGGGTTATATGCATGTCTCAATATGTGTGTGTGTATCTTTGTGTGGGTTATATGCATGTCTCAATATGTATGTGTGTGTGAGAGTGTGTGTATCTTTGTGTGGGTTATATGCATGTCTCAATATGTGTGTGTGTGTGTGAGAGTGTGTATCTTTGTGTGGGTTATATGCATGTCTCAATATGTGTGTGTGTGTATCTTTGTGTGGGTTATATGCATGTCTCAATATGTGTGTGTGTATCTATGTGTGGGTTATATGCATGTCTCAATATGTGTGTGTGTATCTATGTGTGGGTTATATGCATGTCTCAATATGTGTGTGTGTGTGTGAGAGTGTGTGTATCTTTGTGTGGGTTATATGCATGTCTCAATATGTGTGTGTGTGTGTGAGAGTGTGTGTATCTTTGTGTGGGTTACATGCATGTCTCAATATGTGTCTGTGTGTGAGAGTGTTTGTATCTTTGTGTGGGTTATATGCATGTCTCAATATGTGTGTGTGTGAGTGTGTGTGTCTTTGTGTGGGTTATATGCATGTCTCAATATGTGTGTGTGTGTGAGAGTGTGTGTATCTTAGTGTATATGAGTGTGTATGCATGTAAGTGAGTAGGAGTGTGTGTACGTGTGTGTATGTGAAGGAGTGTGTGGGCGTATATGTGATTGTGTGAATTTGTATGAGAGTGAGTGAGTGTATAATATGGCTGTGTATGTAAAAGTGTGTGAGTGAGTGTGTGTAAATGTGTGCATGCGTGTGTAAAACTGTAAATATTGAGCACTAAACATTTTCTAATGTCTGTCGTTACAGCGTCCTACACAACCTGTTATCTGACCCTCCCTCAAAAAAGTATGAGCATAAATAGTGTATCTCCAGGGCAGAGAGGTCACAGCCTAAATTTCGTGGTTTCGCGCCACAGATTCATCATTCACGGTTGAATTTTTTTAACGGAGAACCATTGGGGTCGTCGCTGATGCTACGAAGTTATTTCGACGTTCCTGGCAAAAGCTTAGCCGTTCAGAGAAACCATCTTGACTTTATCATCACATGTTATAGGCACATTGTAGAATCAACATCAATGTTATAGGCCCATTGTAAAATCTTCATCACTGCTATAGTCACATTGTAGTGTCATCACAATGTTATAGGCACAATGTAGAATCATCATCAATGTTATAAACACAATGTAGAATCATCATCCATGTTATAAACACAATGTAGAATCAGCACCCATGTTATAAACACAATGTAGAATCAGCACCCATGTTATAAACACAATGTAGAATCAGCACCCATGTTTTAAACACAATGTAGAATCATCATCAATGTTATAAACACAATGTAGAATCAGCACCCATGTTATAAACACAATGTAGAATCATCATCAATGTTATAAACACAATGTAGAATCATCATCAATGTTATAAACACAATGTAGAATCATCATCAATGTTATAAACACAATGTAGAATCATCATCACTGCTACAGTCACACTGTAGTGTCATCATAATGTTATAGGCACATTGTAGAATCATCATCAATGTTATAAACACAATGTAGAATCAGCATCAATGTTATAGGCAAATTCTCGTAAAATTATGAAAGAAATATCGCAGTTTGACCACTGCCTGAACCACAAAACAGTCATCTCAATGTCTTCCGCATAAACATCAGGTGGCATCTGGGCATGTGCAGATGGGAGTGCACGCCCACTTACAGAGGCTTCGACAGTTTCTATGGTTACTACAATGCAGAAGAAGACTACTATACCAAAGATGTTGGTAAGACCCTGTCTGTTTTAGGGTAATAGTCAATATATAGTAAAGTAAAGTAGAGGTCCCTTTTCCACCCCTTTAGGCCTAAATGGTTTATAGGGCTAGCATTTTTTTTAAAAGACCAATCGGCACAAGATGGGTTGTGTGGTCAGCATCACTCTGGCCGTCATTACTTCCCTGAAATGCACCCGGTACCCACTCAAGGCTTGGTCGACCTGAAAGTCAAGGTCATTTAAAATAAAATGTCTGGTTCCGCCAGGGAGCGAACCCACGACCTTCCGATCCGCACCATATTTAAAAAAAAAAAAATGCATAGCTGCTGAAAGGAATGTGTTCTTGAATTTAAAGACAACGAAAAATAATTTCCACAGACAAAACTGAATAACGACCGAAAAAAAAAAAAAAAAAAAAACATAACAAAGCCCTTGACCCATTATGATCGTAGAGGTGTGTTGATGGAAGCACTATCACAAAACACCGGCCATCTCTGTCTTCCGCTTAATGAATAAGTATATGATAACTTAGTCTTGTCCATTTCTTAATGTTGTCATTGCAGATTCTTATTTTCCCTTTTCTTCTTTGACTATCCCCCAATGTTCCTTGAAGCAGTCTTTGCAATCGAATCATACAATGCCTCTTCACATGCCCAAACCAAGCTAGCTTGCGATGTTTCACCACTGCCAAGATAGGCCCCTGATGCCCCGCATATTTGTATTTTTTGTCTCTGACATATTTATTAGTTTTGTATTCTTTTAAAAAAAAAACGAATTCGTAAAATACATCTATAGCATTTATATTCAAAAACCTTAATCATTCTTTCCATTTCCACAGTGGGAAAAAAAAAAAAAAACAATGCGTGGTTAAGAAATTGAAAATGTCACAAACTTGTAATATCCAAAGTTTGTAATAAATAGCAATGAAGAAATCAAAAGGAGGATAGCCGTTGCAATGCAAAGATTAAACAGTATTCAAAGTCTATGGTTAAGCACCAGCAAGGAAATTAAAATTACAATTTTGAGAGCATGCATCTTCCCCGTTGCAACATATGGATGTGAGTCGTGAACTATCTCCCAGTCCTTAAGAAAGAAATTAGGGGCTGTTAAGATGAAATGCAATTGAAAACTTCTCAGATTACCATGGACAAAGAAGAGAAGAACTGTTGACATTCGAAAAGATGTGAACATCAAGAAAGATTGGCTAATAAACAGCATCTTGTCTCCGAAACTGACATATTTTTGTCAGATCAACAGCCATGGTGGACTGAGAAAAAAAAAAAAAAAATACCAGAAGGCATATGTACCAAGAAGGAGGAGTAGGGATTGACCAACACGAAGATGTGCACAAAATATAAGCCACTCCTTGATTCTGAAAGTACACGAAGCGGAATAGCTGGCGAGGGACCGAGTTTCTTTCAGGCAGACAGCGAAGAGAGCCACCTTCTGCAAAGGACATGCTACATGATGATGATGACTGAAAAGATTATAATTTTGGCATAATTTTGACATTGAAAATCGTTGTGATATAAGTAGTAAAATGTTTCGAATTGCACAGAAGAAGGTTTTAGCGTTCAGCAAATAACTTGACAGTTCTTTTGCATCAGGGTAACTGATAGTTGTTCGCTGTACGGGCTTTCTACCAAAGACATGGGATAACAATGCGCTTTTTCTGAACATTAGTTGTGACGCAAATGATACTGTCGACAATATTGTATGTTAAACGTATGTGAAAAGAGCGTAAAGAAATATTTGACACTGCACAAGACAAAGGATATAAACTGGGAAATGATACGTTTTATAATGCAATGTTATCAACCGATGCCACTGCACATCGAGCATTTCCATGCGTGTTCAGTCCTCCTATGCAGCAGCCACCCCAAGATACCCCTACTGACTATTCCCATCAAAAGTTTGGTATAGTGTTTCCTTTCTTGCCAGTGAAGACAGCAGCGAGCGACGTGCATTACCAAGTTTAACCCCAAATTCATGCCATGAATTTCTAAATAATTAAATACATACTGTATTTGCTAGTACCAATGAAACATACGCAGCTCTATCAATACGGCCACCTGATGTTTGTCATAATTTTAACGTAAAATATTATGACGGCAAAGACAACAAGAAAGGGACCAATCATATACAGTCGTCTTGTGTGTCGTCACCTAGAATGTATAAACACCTAGTATCTAACACTGACTTTTATGGAGTCCCATTTCTCTATTGAATGACTGGTAGTTTGTTGCGTTTGTTTTCTGTTTCCAAGGAGGCGGTTATGATTTTCGTGACAACAAAAGAGTCGCAACAGAAGCGAATGGCACCTATTCTACCGTAAGTGATATCCTTGTACCGTCGTTTATCTGTCCATATGTATTAGCTGTCACATTTGTGTTACTACTAACTTTAAACATGTACATAGATCAATGACGGCATTTACTCATCATCAAGTACCTTGCCGAATGGCGTGGGCGATTGTGCCTCTCCACATACGGCGATCAGTAACTGTGTGTATCAGTTCGTCATGCTATGACAAAAGGCTGTCAAGAATCTTTTCCCGCTGTCTTCCTCAGTCTCTTTTTCCACAGATCTTTCCAGTTGTCACAACAGTTCCAATTTTCCCTCTTCTCATAACATTTTAAAAAACTAATGTCTGTCACTTTCTGATGTTTGTAATAAGTTGTCTTCGAGAATTCACCTCTTTCCAAATCATCTGGGTTGCTCAAGATACTGTTTGGCTTGTTTTTAAATTATCCAGGCTTCACAGCCGTATGTTAAAACTGGTTCTGTATGGTATGCGAGAATTCTTTTTCTAACCTTCAATGACATATGTTTATTGCACAAAATGTTCCTCATGTTGTAAAATGTAGTTTTGGCCTGTAATATTCTATTTCTTATCTCTGTGATATATTTTCCATCGGATTTTATCCATGTGCCTAGATACTTAACTCTTTGAGTCCCAGGGGGTTTAGCATCACAGGTCCAGGAGGTAGTAATGAAAGAAATCAGATCAGCGCATCATGTTAATTGGGCTTCTAGGTAGGAACCTATGAACGTATGATGCGTTCCTTGGGACTCAAAGAGTTAACAAATGTAAATGTCTCAAAATAACACCTTTGACTTTTTTTTTTTTACATATAGGCACTATTCTTTTCTCGGAAATCACCATTACTTCTGTCTTTCGATTACTAAAACTGAGGCCTATGTCATTTCTTTCTACCATCAACGTATTTATAAATTCCCATGGTTAAATTCATTAAGAAACAAAAGATAAATAGTTCTGCCTCCCAGTGAAATAAACCCAACGATATCGGCAGCGAGAATGTGCAACATAATGATAGAAACACTAAGAGGCAGAGGAAGACCCCATCGCCCTCCCCCCTTTTCCCTTAAAAAAAATACAGGTTTAACTGACGACTCAAGACCTTGCATCACACGATCAAACGAGTGTGCCTTGGGTCGGCTACCTATCTTTAATAAAACAGCAACACTTAAAATTATCACATCATTCTAACAAAATCATTTTAATACCGAATTTAACCGTCATACTAGCAGGGTTCGTCTTGTCTATCAACGGCTTTCTGTCGCAAGTACTCTGGTTTTACTTTTTCTTCATGTTCACCAGATGTAAAGTTAGGCGGAAAGCTTGACTAGTTCGTCCTCCTCTGGACTCTAGTATTGTTACAAAATTTGAGTGTAGCCTGCAGATCTGTCTTACAAATCTGACCTTTTTGCATGCAGACTGCTGGTTGCTTGCCTCTCGGGCAAATGCCCTCCGACTGCGAAGAAAGCCCTAATTAGACACTCTACTTTGGGTCTACTCTTTCTTTCTCCAAAACGGAGACCCGGAACCCAGACGGGTAGACTGATAATTAATTTAAGTTGTCGCATTTGTATTGCAACCCATATAACCGAAATTATATATACTGTGGATTATTTATTTACCATTTCCTCAGTAAGTTAATATGTATCCTTCAATGCTTCTCCTAGTAATAATTTATTATGGTGGTGTTAGTAATCATGTTTGCCTACACTGTCAAAGAGGTGCTGAGGTGTTGTATCGGTTAGAAGCACACCGAAGGTCGTAGGGTCAAATTCAAATAGAGACTGAATTTTTTTTAAAACAAATGACCCTGGCTCCCAGGTCGACCCAGCTTTTAATAATTACCATGTAAAGTCCTGGATAGTAAAGGCGCCCAGCGTGACCACATCACCCACCTAATATATACGTAAAGGCATGAAAAAAGTATCTTTTTGTATTTTTTTTTTTTAACCATACTGTCAGTCACTTATCTGGTACAGGTGTCCTACCATACCACGAAGCCAAACTGTAGTCTTTTCTCTTGGTCTCCATCTGCTTTTCTTTCCTTTAAGCTTTATCATTGTCGCGAGACAGGTCGGTTTCCCCCTTACTGGCATCTTATTAGAAGATTAGATTGTTTCCTTCTGATGCGGGCAATCAGTTTTTTTTTCGTAAGTTTACATCTGTCAAGAAGTCTTCATTGTTGATATTATCTGCCCATTGTGTTATCACCAGATCTCAATAAAACTGCATTATTGTAGCTTTCATATTTTTCTTTAGTCCATTTATCTACCCCTCTATTTATCATTGAACGAATACATATTCCTCTACTGATCTTCGGTTTAATCCATCGCTCCATCCATCTAGTCAATATCCAGCTACCCATATATTCATCTAATAATGTATTCATACACGTATGTATGTATCCACACATGCATCCACCCATATATCCATGTGCCCATTAAACTATTCAGACGTTCATCTATCAATCAATCAGTCCATCGATCCATCAGCGATGGAAAGTCATTAGGTAAAGGCAGTTGTATCCTAGTGTCGTAATCATTTAACATTATGCCTATGCACAACAGCTCGTACAAGATGGTCGCAGCACTGTTAACATGCACAGTGAATATGTAACGCCAATAGCTTCTACCTGGCGAGCAACCACAATCGGTAGACTACATGTGTTGTCAAGAAAGTGGATACATTATAAATTTGTTCCGGCTCTTTGTGAAGAAAGAAAAGAAAAGGAAAAAAAAACTTAGTTACTGAAATTGCCTTTACTTAGTGACTTCGCCTCGTATATATCGGTCCATCCTTACATGTCTACCCATTTTTTCATACCTAAATTACCATTTCCTTCAATGCTTCTTTTACAATTCACATTTACAGGATCTCTACGTGGAGAGGTTCAAGACAATAATAGCAAACCACAAACAGGATACGCCTCTGTTTTTGTATTTGCCTTTCCAGAATGTCCATGCACCCCTGGAGGTGAGTTTAAATCTTTAGTTTCACAGCTATAAGTGAGGAATTACACTATAAGTTTCACCCCTGAAAGTCAGTACACTCTTAAGTTCCTATCAAATTTCCACTTGTCTGTGGTTTTCCTGCCTCCTGGTCTTGCAAGTGTCAGTGAGTATGGCTTAGGGTTTATCAATGGAGTTTCATATTAACAATATACTGTGTTTGTGTTGCAGAACCAACCCCTTCATTATATTTGACAGTTGAGGTTTTTATAGCAAATTTTACGTCAAGTAGTTTGCCACTGCTTCATGACTCAGTTCCACTGTCGAAACAAACGCAAGTCAAACCATCCGCAGCTGGAGTCAAACCCGGCACCGCGGCATTACGAAGCGCATTGGCAACGCCTAAGCCACAGGCTTGACAGCTAACTTATTACCTGACTTATTAACTAACTTTATCTTCCATAACATAAACAATATTTTTGTATTAGACGACACTCATTTTCTTTAAGTGCACATTCATGTGACACTTATCTTCTATAAAGTAAACAATTGAAAACACTTATGCGTGGTTTTTTTCTCACGTACCTTCCGCAAACACACACATTTAACACTTCTTTTCATGACTGCACTTAGTTTTTTTTAACACAATCCTGTTATAAACACAGGAAGTTTTTTAACACTGTCTGTAAATAAACATTTACATTTGTGTGATATTTCTCATCCATTATGTTCAATTCACAAGTGCAGTTTTTACGGAGATCCCAGACAATCGTCATAGGGGCTTCGGCATTCGTTCTGTGTGTTAGTTCTCTGCAGGCAGCTAGCCGTTCTGCGAAGAGAGACTGAGCCATAAGGGATAAACCTGGTGCAGTGCAGCATTCTTCCAACTTTCAAATGCATAGGCAATTTTTTAAACATTTGTCTTTCATAAAAATACTTAATTATTTAGCACATATCATTCACGAACATACACTGTTTTTTGTGTGTCATTATTTGCCGTTTTTGTTTCTTACAAAGGTGCCAGACAAGTACTACAATATGTATCCAAATATCAGAGACCATGATAGGCGTACGTTTTCGGGTAGGTAAATTTTTACCATGCTTTCCCTTAAATAAGACCTACACCAAAAAAAAAAAGCTCTAAAACATCAGCATGCTTTTTTAGAATGCTTTTAAAATAAAAATAAAGCCTAATCAAGATCGTCAGCTAGAATCAGAGACTTGTTGCCGAATGCTCAGTCGCAGTACAGACGCCACTAGTGCGCTTTTGATAATGAACGAATGTGATTAATAATTCAACGCAGATCACTAGTTGTTAATGCACTACAAGCGGATAAGACATTCTCATTTAAGGAAAGCTTTATTGCTAAACACGAGAGACTGGTGTCAATGGTTTTATAAGTATTGGAGTCACAAAAAATTCAGGCCAGAATTCAGAGTTTGGAGAGGTCAGACGAAGTCCCAGAAAAACATGAAATGACTGTATTCGAATAAATTTAGATTTTCATAAATGAATAAAAGTAGATTTATTCTGTGTAAAAAAAAAAAAAAAAAAAAAAAACAACAACATCCTTCGAAATAAGCCACATTGCATTTTAAGCGAACATTAATATAAGTCCCGGTCTTTTTTATGTGGAACCGATGGCAAAAAAAAAAAAAAAAAAAAAATACTTGTCTGCCATAGAGAATCTGCTTTAACATACGCCAGCGAATTCTGGATATTCAGATGGCATCAGGTATATTATGCTATAGGAATAAACTCACAGGGAGCAAGTACAGCAGGGATCTACCAGTCGTCAGTAGAAATTATCCTCGTCAACGAGCGTTTCGGCCCACGATTCCTAAACGCTTTCGGAGGTGGGCCCTCCTGAGTTCATGAGGCTCAGGGCTGGTACCCTGCTGCACGAGATTACCGGATGGTGTTTTTCTTTCGGATAGGGACAAGACGACTTGGTGGTTGCAGAAGGTACTGTGAGATAAGAAGTCGTCGCGGCAGCCTAATTAAAGCAGTCAGCATACCTGGACGACCGAGCGACAAGCTTACGATTGGTTTAGACTCATCTTTGCATAGACCAACGGGTACTTGGTGAGTAAGGTGGTCAACAGTATGCCAACCGCAGTTACTTCTAGGATATCATCTGATACTCATTTAAAGCTAGGTAGACCTGGAAGTCTTGTCAACGAACAAAACAAAAAAAAAATCCTGAATGCTGATCTGAATCAAATACTTTCAGACCGGCAGGCGAGCGTCTAGAGTCGAGAAAATGAATTCGCAAGAGCTATATACATCCTATCCTGATTTACGGAAGAGAATCATTGGACAGTTGGTTAAGTAGAGAAAAATTATTTGGAAGCGGTGGAGATGTGGTTGTTACAGATGAATGATGAAAATGCCACGGGCAGATACAGAAAAGTCATGAAGATGTCTTGAAAGAAACTTACTAACGAATTGAACTGATTGTCCACATCCGAGGGAGACAGTCTCCATTTTGTCGTCATGGCCTGCGAAGGTTAAAACTGGAGTACATAGTGACGGTGGGAAAGTTGGAGGGGACAAGCGGCATAGGAAGACCGAGAGAGAAGATGCTGAACTGTTTGACATCTTGGAGTGGAAGAACATATGTGTCAGAATTGACTGAAAGTGCACGAGACAGAATCTCGTAGATGAATGTATCTACCAACGCCACCCGGCATTGACTATGAACAAATCATCTGGTTCAGAACTGATTAAAAGTACACAGCACAGAAGGTTGAGGGTAGACATGACTAACAACGCCAAGATTTCAAAGTTAGACAGACGATCTAGTTACATGTTAGTTGTGACAAATGGTTTAACAAATAATGAATTGTCCTTTTTGCTATTGTGATGCCACTGTACGTTTTTGGGTCATCTCTTCACCTCTCTTTCAAAAGGAATGGTAACAGCTTTGGATGACGCAGTTGGAGAGGTAGTGTCAGCTTTACAGCAGAAGGGACTCTATGACAATACATTGATTGTATTTACAGCCGACGTAAGTGGAATATGTTCTCATTTATTATAGTATACACTTATTTAATAGAATTATACACAAATTTATACACATGATTGTAGCAGTCTTCCTTAAAACACACACAAGTTGAATCAAATTATAAGCGCTCCATTCCTATCTTTCACAGCCAGCGTGGAAAGTTAATTCCAATGATACTAGTAGCAATTTTATTGTATGTTCAAGTTTTTCTTATCCCCCGTTGTGCTGGTTGGCAGCCAGATCTATTAATTACTTCGTACTGCACTATTCTCTCCAGACTTTAGTGATCTATTTGATTTAAAGAATTATTCACTTGTTCCCGTAGAATTTTGACCAGATCCTCATGTGTAGGTAAAGGGGTGGAGAAGTTTTTAAAAAAAAATCTGCAGACAAAGGTAAATAACAATTCAGTTGCAGTATAGGACCAAGAAACTTAAGAATTTTACCCAGGCTCCCTTACTTTTCCTTTGAAATATTACTAAATCTTGTCGAGGCAGCATCTAAATCTAATGACTTTTGTTGAAAATAAATACTTTTATTTTAATTATAAATTGATATGTTTAATGTGATTTAATGTGGCTTACACGCGCGCGCGGCGCCTGTGTGTGTGTGTGTGTGCGTGTGTGTATTTTTGTAAAACGTTGCCTGTCCTTCAGATAATGTTGCAGAAACAACTCCCATCATTTGTTGGCTCTTGTGGGTTATTTAACGCATATTTACGTTCAGTAGTTTGGAATTGTCGGCGTCTGTAACTTAGGCGTTGCGAACGCTCTTCATAATGCCGGGGTGCCGGGTTCGATGCAAGGTGCGGGCATTGCGCCTTGCGTTGGTTTCGTCAGCAAAAGACGTAAATTTGCCTAGAAAAACCACAACAGTCAAAAAACGCTGGGGTTGGTTCTGCAACGTCCATTAAAGAATACGCAACTAACTTTGAACTAACTTTACTTTGCAATTGCCACTTAATGGTCGGCTGTCGTACCACTGTCTAAACCAACGCAAGACGGTCTGTTGCCAAATAGCTCGCAGCTGGAATCCAGTCAGGCACTACGAAGCGTGTTTGCAACGCCTTAGCCACAGACGCCGACGTGCCTTTGTAATTAATCTAATGGTGTGTGTTTTCTTCTCTACCAACACATATGCTTATCGATCATCCTCATCATCAGGTGCCTTGCCGACTGGCGTGGGCTATCATGCCTCTCCACAATCTGCAATCTCCTGAGGCATGTATCAGTTCGTGTGCTGACACACCTCCATGACATGCAACAAGACTGTCAAGCGTCCTCTCTCGTTGTCTTTCTTTATCCCTCTTTCCACAGATCTTTCCAGTGGTCACAACATGTTCTGTTTTCCCCCTTCTCATAACATGGCCGAAACATGATGACTGTCTCCTTCTGATGTCTGTGATAAGTTGTCTTCGAGCTCCCACCTCTTTCAAAACCTCTTGGTTGCTCTTTTTGGCTGTCTACGGTATTCTAAGCATTCTTCTGTAAAACAAAATCTCTGAGGCCTCAAGAAATTGTTTGGCCTGCCTATCGATTGTCTAGGATCCACAGCCATATGTTAAAACTGGATGTATGTATGCTTAACGATACGGTTACTGTTTAGACATCTCACATAATAATTGATCATGTCTGTGTCTTTGTCTCGTCCATACCATGTTGCCAAAACTGTTTGCGCATTTAAGTCTTCTTCTTCCTTGCGTTCACCAGCTGTAAACTCTGGCAGACAGTTCTGGTTGTTCAGCCACCTCTGGACTCTAGTGTTGTTCTAGTACCTGCGTGTTGCGTGCTTATCAGTTTTACAGATCTGTCTTTTTGTATGTAGATTGTTGGTTCCTCGCCTCTAAGGCAGATGTACTTTGACTTCGAATGAGGCCCACAAGTTAATAAATTCTGAAGACCTGATTGTTGGGGAGACAGTGCATCTATTCTTGTTTCCCTCACAATGGAGTTCTGGACCCCATACAAGTGATTGAAATCTTATTTTTATTATTATTTTTATTTATTTCTATCTTTTTTATTATTATCTTGTCTTATTCTAAAAGTTCACAATAATATTATAAATTATTAAACTAACAAACAACCATGTGATAATGATGTCGAACTGTTAGAACGCCGGAATCTCAAGCGGATGACACGGGATCGGATCCTCCGTAATGTGATACAAAGTCTACTGAACGTTAAAAAAAAAAAAAAAAACGCCCTTACCTGCACAGTTGGCACTAAGCGCACTATGCATAAACCTTACACCCCCAGGCTCAAAACGCCGGCCCTAAACCGCTCGAGAAAGGGTGTACACAAAATAAAAGATCTCTTTTTACTCCTTCAGCGCATCGGGCATATTGGAAGAGCACCCATATTTTTACAGACCAATCGACACCAGGTGGGTAATGTGGTCAGCATTAAGCTGGCCGTCTTTACTTTCCAGGACATACATCCTGGTACCTATTTTAGGCTAGGTCGGCCTGTGGCGCCCCATACCATGATTAAAATCCACGCACAGCAGTGGGTTTCGATCGCGGTACGTTAGAATTACGAGTCGGACTCGCAACGCCTAAGCCACGGACGCCACCGAAAAATGGGTGCACAAAAACTGTAATGAAATTTTGCCCACTGATCATTTCGTGAGTTGTTTTATGACAACTTTTTGCAGATATTTAATCTCTGCATATTGCCAGAGCAATACTATCAGCACCAAAAGCATCTATATCAATGTACATCGATTTAGTAAAAAGCCTTAGATAGATGCCAAGCCGCATGAATTAAGATGCAAGTAAAAGAAAACGATACTCTTTTAAATCCTCATGACCAGGCCTTGTATAGCAAATACGCTCATTCTGAAATTGCAAAGCAACATCTAATGAGGTCACGAATGAATGGACAATAAAAAGGAATGATATGAACAACAGTAGGGGCCTGAGACAGGGCTGTCTGCCTCTAGGAAAAAAGGAAGACAGACAGAAAGAACGTATAATAGAATACAAAGGCATTAAACAGGCCATGAACAGTTAAATGGGAGTCTGGCATCTAATGATTTAACTCATGGGTTGTGCAAGTAAATCGAGAGGTTTGACGAGAGGGGTGGAAAATTGGACAAAGAAATTCACATGTCAACGCTTCATGCAGTAAAGCAAAACCAAGTATTGGCGACAGCTAGCCCCCCGAAAGGACAGCAGTAATGACTAATAATGCAATCAGCACGAAAGAGACATCTTATTCAAGCATATTTATTCCAACTCTGTGCTACCAGTGCCCTGTAGCATGGTTACTCACATAAACTGAAACCATAAAAGAACATTAGTAACCACGGAAATGAGATGTCTGAGAAGGCTGTAGGAGTGACCATAAGAGATAAGATCAGGAATTAGATCATAAGAGAACAAGTCGGCACAGAACCAATTCTGGATTACATAGGAAAGACAGCAAGTGAAATGGTTTGCCCACTTAGAGAGAATGCCTTGTGACACTATACCATACAAACTACATACATGGAAAGAGAAGAAGGACGTAGAGCACCGGGTCTCGACCAAGAAAGCAAGATGGAAGGATAACATCAGAGAAACTCTACAACAGCACGATGTGCCTATGGTCGAGGCAGCCAGAAGAGCTAGAAACTGAACCTTATATCTCCCTCGACACCCACAGCGGTCAAAGAGCAAGTAAAGAAGAAGAAGAAGAAGAAATACTATCAGCACCAAAAGCATCTATATTATGTGTTCTTTGATTTAAAAAAAAAAAAGGCCTTAGATAGATTATGACATGCCACACTCTGGGATGCAATTAAAAGAACATTATTGGTACAAATCCTCACGTAATATAGAAAAGCTTTATGCCAAAGCCAGTAATGCTGTCACGCCGAATGGACAAATAAGGAGATGGTCTGAACAACAGTAGGAGCCTGACAGGACTGTCTCCTCTCCCCAACACTATTTAAAATCTTCATAGAAAGAAATAATGACTGATGCACTAGCAAAACACCATGAACAGTTAGTATGGGAGGTCAAATTATAGCAATCATGAGGTTTGCAAGTAACATCGAGAGGTTGACCGCGGAAGAACAAGAGCTAGTCCTACACAATAAAGATCGCAATGATAAGCAATCGCTCTTAGGAGCTGAAAGATTGAACGCAGTCGAATTAATATTTTCGTTCTGCAAGTGGATGAATGGATGAAACGCAATGAGATAATAGGACAGGTTGAATGAGTTGAGTTGAGTCAAGAATTGACATTCAGAGCACACAGGGCATTCCAATGCATGCTCAGTCCTCATCTTCAGCAGAAAGCGCAGAGTTCCAATACTGATGGTACCGGTCACAATTTGGTTAAAAGTCCGTCTTCCCTTTCCTCTGAGTGTAGTAAGCCATATATAAAGACAAGATTTGCGACTAACTCTTCTCTGTTACGCTTTACGATATAAGCAGTAGGACAAGAGAAAACAGACGAAGATCTTTGTATCAACATTCAATCCATGTCCCCATACATTTTGTCTATTTGGATCAACAGAATGGCGGAGCGGTAAATTTTGGAGGAAATAATTTCCCTCTCAGAGGCGGCAAGTTTACTGTGTTTGAAGGTGGGACTCGCGCTGTGGCTTTCGTTCATGGGCCCATGTTTCAAAAGACAGCAGTAAGATACGACGGGTATGTATGACTTTCCTTACTTTTAAACAGACATTTTCGTTTTGTTCTGCAGAATGGTGGATGGGTGACATTCGGGGGCAATAACTATCCTCTCCGAGGTGGAAAAGTGACAGTTTTTGAAGGTGGGACTAGGGCTGTGGCATTTGTTCATGGACCAATGTTTCAAAAAACGGGAGTAAGATACGACGGGTATGTTGGTAATCTCATTGCTCCTCTCACATTTATGCCTGCACTCAACAATCCTTTTAATCAAGAACCAGGGATAAAACCACTAAAAAAGACAATTTCTGAGAGACTATTAGCCAAGAAAAATAAGAAGAAGAAGAAAAAGAAAAGAAGAGGAAGATAAAGATGAAGAAAAGAAAGAAGAAGGAGAGGAAACAGAAGAAGAGGAAAAGCTGCAGCAACAACAACAACAGTCTTAATTACGAAAAGAAGAACATTAAGAACAACAACAGTATTTTTTTAAAGAAAAATATAAATACGAAGAAGAAGAACAATTAAGAGGAAACAAAACAGAAAAAAAAGTAACCGAGTACAAGAAAACCGTATAAGGCGGAAAGAGAAAAGAAAAAAACATTATGTATCAGAAGAAGTATTTGAAGGAGTTGCAGTAGTACAAGATAAGTCTTAAATAGTGAGACGAACATTCATAAACAGTAATAACATCATGACAAAGTCACACACTGCCTAACCCTAGCACTATCAGTACTGATTTGTTTTAACAGGCTGTCTCACATCGTGGACTGGTTCCCGACGCTAGTCGAAGCTGCTGGGTCCAGTTATAAAGGTAACATTTTCATCACTTAGATATAGTCATTGCCTACCAGCATAATACCAGATGCATTTTTAAAAATTTCATTTTTAAGATTTACCCCGGCATATCTCGAGGGCCCTAGAATAACCTAACGGTTATACGGAGTCTCTGGGACTTGCGCCAAGGCGATTCTCAACCGAATGGTGGCACTTTGTGTCACCGAGTGTTTAACGCTTGTTGAGCCGTCCTGGTGAGATTGAACTTCAATAATTCCTTCACAATTTAGATGGACACTCCGTATGTATGCGTGGGTATGTGTGTGTGTGAGTGTGTATGAGTGTGAGTGTGTGTGTGTGTGCGTGTGTGCGTGTTTACTTGTCGTATACAATTTGTATTGAACTTAGTGGAACTGAATTAGGAATCAACATCACTACACATTGAATTTATCGCGTTTCTTCATCTTTCACAGTCCAGATATCAGCTCAGTTACGGACGATTATACTTTCCACTGCAAAAGAAACCTGCATTATTTACGACTTATTATTGCTGAAAAATATTTATTACAAATAGGCCACTCGGTTTATGTCTTGCTGGGCACACTCCTCTTGTCAAAAGTACCAACAGAGCGAAAGGTGGCTGGCCTCGTAATTACACCCCTCATAAAACACTGTAACGTGTTAAAGCCATTAGTTGTTAGCACTACAATGCTACCTGTGCGCGCATTCTTTTATCAGCGAACGACGAGGAGGAAAATATCATGTGAGACCTGGTCCAGTGTTATTGTTACCTGCTAACGTTTGCACATACCAGCCGATTGTAGCACAGCTCTATTGTTTCTGTACGCTGACAAACCCGGTATCGTCTTTAGTTTGCTGTGTCAATATTGGTGACGGTGTGCTGGCTAGTTCAGTTCACAGGAATAAGAAAGGCAAATTACATATAATTTCTTTAGGCATAGTTCACCCTGCTTCAATATACTTATATCCGTCCCAGTAACTTAACTTATTCTACATTATGTGCTATCTGTTTGCCCCTCTGTCTTCTTCCTCATTGCCTGTGATTACTGCTCTTAATTTTTGTTTTTTTCCTTTTACGGAATATACGTTCTAAACAGATCCGACGCAAGATGGAGTCAGCCAATGGAAATCACTCCTATCGTTGTCCCTGCCTTCCGGTCGAGATGAAGTTGTTTACAACTTAGACTACAGTGAATTTCCTGAACAAGGAAAGGCGGCTATTCGGTAACACAACCTTGTAGTGTGTATGTTACATGTATGACTAGTGTGGCGTGTGCTGTGAACTATAAATGAAGAAAATAGCTCGTATCTGGCTGCTATAGAACTGGCAGAATTCCTTATGCAGTAATGCGGAATGCGTGTACACCATCTAATTTAAATTCACTGCTGCTTCTGTCGACATTGGTCTGCAGTTTTACTTCCCGCCTGTTGATGTTGTTCCTATAAATAAACAGAGGGGGGAACCATTTGAGGCCTGTTGATGTTGGCAACTTAAGCGGCTACATTTTATGCGTGTGCGCGTACAATTATATTGCGTTTCCAAAAATCGCGGCCTCAAATGTTAACAAAGATACCCAAACTCCTACATTGATAAACAAGGTTTTTTTGCACGCGATCTTAGATTTCCCGTCCTTATGATTTTATGGTTTACTAGCTGTACCCGGCCACGCGTTGCTGTGGCATAAGTTGGTTAAATGGAAATAAAAGAAAATAGAAATCGCACGTGTCTAATACAATCATTGTCTGCTCAGATATAGAGATAGTCTTTGATTCCCCCCCCCCCTACGCCCCCCACAACTAAATCCACCTACTACCCTCTCCGTCATCAAAGTTTTTTTTTTAAAGAAAGACAATGGAAATCGCACCTGTCTAATATAGTTAATGTCGCAATCATTCTCTGCACATTTATTTATGAGATATGTCTGGTTTTCCAACTTTAGAACACGCACCATACAATTGTATCTTTATATTAGTGGGTCGTTTAATGGTGCTATTAGCCGACAGTAACAAAAGTGATTATTTGGTTCACACGCTAAAAGCTGTTTGTATATTTATAGGAGACATAAGTAAAGCTACTACTAGTACTTGTAAATAACAAAGTAAGTCGTACAAAAATTAGAATAGTGAAGGTAGCGTTAGTAAATATAAACAATTTAAGTAGGTAATGAGAACTTAAAAAATCATGTATAAAAGCTCTTTAAGTTCTGTTAAATTCAGTCATTACCCTTCCCCTTGCCCTCTTTACACCGAATACTGCTCTCCCCTCTTCGAAGAATTGAAAAAATCATCACTGGCGATAATATTTTTGTTTAACTAACAATGACATCCCCCTGTCCATCTGGACTAAATTGAGAGCAGGAATTGTAACAGGTAGTGAATGGGGCTAATGTATAATATTTACCGCATCATCCTTCAAGTACCAGTATAACTACTACCACGACCACACCACCACAGTAGCTAAAATAATGTCACTGCTATCTGTTTTACCATCGGAGTAGACAGGGAGTTGTGAGCCAAAGATTTGGCGCCACATGGCTAGTGCTGTCGCCCGGACTGGTCAGTGTTTAGGATGTATGATTTCGCTCCCCAACAGAAGAATGCCATAACCTTACCGGGGGGCGGTCTTCACATGAGAGCATTACGGTGTAACCGCCCAACCATAACTACTGCTGCTGCTGCTACTTTGAGTGGGTTAAAAGCAGTTACTGTGACTTAAAGCTCTCTCAGTAATCAGTGTTGCCCCCCCCCCCCCCCCGGGGCACAATTCACCGACTACTCTTCCCTCATCGAAGTAGTGTTGAAAAGGAAAAAAAAAAAAAAAGCAATTAAAAAACAAAAATTTGGAAAAATACACCAGAATTAGGAAATAATCGCTATGGTAAACAGCACAGCTTTAAATTCCAACACAGATGAAATAATTCAATCTAAATGAAAATAAATGGAAAGCTATGAAATTTCAGCGTAACCATGCAATCGAAAAGTTAAAAATGAAATCATAAGTATGTGAAATGGTCAAATTTAATTATCAACTGGTTTACCCACAAACCTGACCTTGTTTTTTTTTTTTTAAATATATATCATTAAGGGCCATATGGCTAGTGCTGTCACCACGACAGTGCAGGTGAGGATTTTATTTTAGCCCTGAGTAAATAAAAAAAATTAAAAAAAAACTACTGCGGATTCGAACCCTGGTCTCCCTCTCAAGAGCCGAGTGTTCTAACCATTCGACCAAGCAACCACTCGATCGGATAACGAAAAGAGAACATTACTTTTTTAGATGTGTGTCCCTACTGCAGTGTCCCGATTATAAAACAACTCAAAACAGCAGGCAATTGTTTTCTCATAGACAGATATTCCAAACATATTAATGAAACGGCACAACAAAAGAAATCGCACGTGTCTAACACGGTTAATGACGCAGTCAATGTCTGCGCAGACGTCGAGATAGTCCCTGATGCAATTCCCCCCCCCCCCCTCTTTTTCCCTACCAATCCATCGACTACTTTTCAACTCATAGAAGGATGTTTGAAAAAAAAAAAAAAACAATAGAAATCGTGTCTAATATAGTTATTGTGGCAATCACTGCCTGCACAGATATAGATATAGTCTTGTTTGCTGTACGACGATCTACTCTATGTATTAGAGGAGGTGTTGGCTGCATGGCGCATGCGCAATTACTAACGTGGCTATAATTAGAAATCACTAAAATTACAAATATTAGTTTCGAATATTATGGCTTAAATTGTGGTCACCTATCTCTAACTGTGACAGGCTGAATTTCAAACCATGATGGTTCAACATCCGGTATCAAAACAAACATATCCTGAAAATTTCAGCTAAATCGGTTCAGTAGTTTCCGAGTCTTTGGGGGCAAACAAACACACAAACATTGATTTTTATATATATAGATAATTACACATGTGCTGTTCTTCAAGTTGCGAATTTTATTTTGACCCTTGTCAGACTAATAATTTGAGTACTCGTTGAAAAAAAACCGGAATTGACTCATATATATATATATATATATATATATAATATATATATATATATATATATATATATATATATATATATATAATATATATATATATATATATATATAGTCCACTCCAAAGTCTTGACCTCAAATTTAAACGAACATCTCGAGATTATGACAGTACAGGACGTATCCACTCGCTATGTAACATAAGTGCACATGTTTTTGGCACGAATCACCTCTACGCCGGTGCAATTTGATTCTGCTCTAAATTCGCGTCACTTCATTCACTGTAAAAATGCTAATTGTATGTCTTATATCGGTGTCCGTATTTTGTCTCCATCGACAACAAATAAAGCACACAAAAAAAATTAAATATTTCTTCACGTGATAATTCTTTTCTGATAAGTGTATGATTAGTAACAAGTTGCATGTTATATTTCAACAACAACAAAATTTACACCAAACCGTTAGCGTGCAACATATTATTACCTGACCTTTACATTACTTACCTTCAACTTACTAAACACACACACACACACACATTTTATATATGATATATTTATATACATATTTATGTGTGTGTGTTTGTGTGTGTGCGTGTCCAAACAGGACTCCGTAATCTCCATTACTTGATTCAATGTTTATAAGCTCGGCGTAGCCGGAGCTGACATCACTATGTGTCCTTGACTTTCAGAGTTGGAGACTACAAATTGATAGCGGGGTACCCTGGTTTGTATCCAGACTGGTACAAGCCGGCCCAAGCACACATGTCTTCAGTTACAAGAGTGGACAATGCTGTCAGTAACAAGGGCACAAGAGTCGCCAGGACACCAGGTGAACAAGTGACTTCAGCAGCGCCAAAAAATTTCTATTTATTTAACTTGAAAGGTAAGCAAATTATCGTAGTATTAGTAGTAGTAGTAGTAATAGTAGTAGTAGTAGTAGTAGTAGTAGTAGTAGTAGTAGTAGTAGTAGTAGTAGTAGTAGTAGTAGTAGCAGCAGCAGCAGCAGCAGTAGTAGTAGTAGTAGTAGTAGTAGTAGTAGTAGTAGTAGTAGAAGTAGTAGTAGTAGTAG